CAGCATTTCCTGGTCAAAATCTTGACCGCCATTTGTACCGGATAAATTTCGCTTGAAACATTCCGCCTGCATTGGTCGTTGGTTACGCCGTACCTCAAATTGGTCATAGTTATTATATTTATAATAATAGTGATGCAGAAGCGCTAAAATCCCTAGAAGCAACTTTGCGATTGAACTGCAGAGTACTGAAATACGTAGGATCATATGTCTTCTATTTTTAGCGCTACCTGATTTTTTAGCGCTGTTCCGGCCCCTGCTTACTATTCTCCTCCATTTCCTCACAGGACCTCTGAGGCCCGTACTGCCTTTTATTTTAATTCGTGATAGTTTATCGAACAAAATGTAGGGGACATTGAGCTCAGTGCAGTCGGTTCCCTTACCAAAAGTTATCAACAGCTGATTCCGCGCACTGCTTAGTGCTACTCATATGAAAATAAACAATCATTTGGGCAGTCCCTGAAAGGTGGTGCACGCACACCCATCAGGCGGTGGGTGCACACACCCATCAGGCGGTAATATGCAATTAAGATCAAATCTCTCTGCAGCGGGCACATGGTGCCTCTCAATAACATCGAAATTCAAGCCAATTTTCGGAAGAACTGTTAAGTTAACAGTAAAATCCTTGTACGGGTCGTTAAAATTTGGAAAAAATTGTGCAAAATCAGCAGATGAACAGCTTAATTCGTTGGGTTGGCGTGTGATCATGCAGCATAAAATATCTCCAACTGACGCATGTAATAAAAATTCATTACTTGTGGATTATGTTGGTCGGTGTTGAGCATTATCACAGCATAAGCTAACGTGAAAGCCGCGTCTACATGATTGAACGGTTCGCCATTCGTGCGGTACCAGTGATCTGAAAAAAACAAATAAACAACGAAAAACCAGTAAAACTGCGTGAGTACGGAGAGAAGACAGAACCAAGGACTTGTTGCCAATGATCGCTAAAGCCTTAACCTACGCAGATGATTTCCCAACCCAGTTATCCAAATTTAACTAGAAATCATGATAAAATCTAAAATCTTTCAAAAACAAAACCAAGCAATTACGGAGTAAATTTCATTTAAAAAAAAGCTGGAGGTACCCAATGGAGCAGAGTTTTCATTAAAGAATTTCCCCTCAAAACCATAGTTGTTATCAAGGGTTTCACCTCATCGACTTCGTTAGTCACCTGAACGTGACTCCGCAGATCGAAGCAAAAATTCCAAAAAAATCTTCTAATGCTTTTTCCGGCCGCAGTTAAAAATAAAAATCACTTTAGAACACACCCCTGAGAGTTTGAAACAACAAAGAATCTTAATGGCTGCCCAACCAAGAATCTTAGTGAACCGAAACAACGTAAAGCACTTTACTTCTGTAGTGAACATCGTTCATATTTTAGATTTTTTAATATAGGCTATAGTTCTTTCCTTTTTTATTCAGAACTGCCCGATTCTCGTATCTCCAGCTCAGGTTTAAGGTTCCACTTTTACTTTATTTGCTTTACAGGTACAACCCCCGTTCAATATTCGTAATGGTGGAGGTACTGTTTTCCTAAATGCACTTTTAACGCTTGCTTTAACCTTTTTACATTATCTTAATTTTCTTTTTTCTTTTTGACACATTACATGTTATTTTTGCTGCAACCGTCACACTGACAAGGTCCAGTTGCAGCAATGATCAGGAATGTGTGCGACTTGATGGACCGAAACATTCCTATTCCGGTTTTTATTCCGATTTAACTAATTCACATCCCTTTTTATTCCCTTACTTTCATACCCCTACTTTTCACATAAGCACACGTCATCTAAAATTAAAATTACAATCCTAAAAAAGACGAGAAAAGGCAAACAATCTGATGAAGCAATTACCAGCAAAATGTTGCATAACCATGGATATTTCAGCGGCTTCACCGGGCAAACGAAATGTTTCCAGGAACATGCGAAGTGCATCATCTAGGCGCGTATTTTCGAACGGAAACGAGCGGACAAATGCATCGAGTACTGGTGCATTCTTACGACTGCAGTTTCAGTATTGAAATTAAACATCCATTCAGTGCTACTTTTAGTTCAAATGTACCTGCATATACAATAAACAAGTGTATGGTAGCTAAAACTCAAGCAGAAACAAACGTTACGATCGCTATAATGTAGCCGCAAGGCGAAGCAGCACTGGCCAAAGCGACTAGAAAAGTTATTAACTGTTTCGCGAAAAAAAAACAAGTTGCTAACGGCAAGAAAACGAAGCTGCCTGCTAAACCCCTTCGCCTTGCCAGT